AGGTGATGAAGGTATATTGCTGCATAAGTAAGGGAAGTTAACGATAGAAAAGTTAAAGTCATCACGTTTATCAACTAATAACAATTTGAATAATATTGAAATTGAAATAAGATTTGAACTAGAAATACTATAATTCTCAGACATTCGTATAGAATTGATTCCACTATTTTATGGTCAATTATCGTATATTTTGTGTGTTGTTGTTTAACGTCCCGGGTCCATCTCAAAAATTCAATTTTTTGAGATGCCTCAAATATTTTAACTGCTGCAAATTAGAATGACGTAAGTTTCATATTTCCATCTCTTGCCAGTTGATGGTGCGATGCCTCATTGAGGTATTTTGTACTTGGATTTATATTCTGGTATTTTTGTTATAAGAAGTATAACGAATACTAAATTTCTGTGCGTAGGAAGAATTAGCAAGACATAAAAGCTATTAAAACTTTTTTAATCTAAATGATTTTTTAGGAATGCCTTAAGAAAAAAAAAATCGATATTTTCCCTTATAAATTAATCTGAGCAGTCAAAGAGAAGGAGAAAATATCAGAAAATTACATAATTATACTAACTCACATATATTTTCTGCATACCAATCCTATTTCTATTGTGCCATCTTTTTGCTGTTTATTTCAGTAATGTTTTTTATATTTTTTTATATTGCCCGTCTGTAAATGAAAAGATTCAGCAAAAAGATGATGCAGGTTTGTCATTTTGTATTGTATGAATTAATATGAAATTTAAAATTGCCTACCATGATGAGTAAGTCTTATGATGATAGGTTTCGATGATCATAAATTTATTTGAGTTCTTCAATATGAAAGAAAGTTTTTACAACAGAATTAGAATTTTTCTTCCTTAAATATTATTTCAACTTTTAAAAAAGTTTATTACCGTTAACATCTGCAATACTGTAGACATAGGCAACATCGGTACTGTGCGGACGTGCATTTGCCGTTAGAGAAAATTCGGTCTTGTTAACAAATCCGTCTCCGTTTGTGTCCCATGAAGAAAATTCACATGGCAAAGGTACGATAAATTCCTGAAAACAACGATTAATGTGAGAATTAGATAAATTTGCTTTAAGAAGTTGTAAAAAAAAAGCTGTAGGAAAAAATATATTAAATGTCATGACTTGCAAAGACCAACGTAAAATTGTAGTAGCTGGATTCATTGGAAAATTTGAAATTTAAAATCATAAAGCAAGCCATTTCATAATCAACCTTTTGCATAGGATTTATCAAAATCAAAGAGGAACTATTCAATGTGTAGCTTTGTTACAATTAAGCAAATAGGGTAGGGAACATATGGATAAAAAACGCTCAGAAGAAAAGGACTGATTTGAATAAAATGATGAGATTCAACAGAATCTCTAAAGATGATTTAAACTCAATAAATTATATTAGACTCTTTTCTTTCTTACATACGAGATTATGAAAATTTTAAGCAGAACATGCACCGACTTACTTTCAGACCAGAGCGTTTACGGCTGCATTTTGGATAACACCTGGAACAACAGTATGGTCTGCATCGGTTGTTGCATTGAAATTCACACAGTGTCTGACAAACCGGCCGTGGCGGCGGATTCCTCCTCCTCCTCCTTCTCCAGAACCAGGCATCTCCTTCGTCGATGAATACGATGCTGACGAGCATCAGTAGGAGCAGCAGTAACAGTGTATTCTAAAATTATATATTGACCACCTAGAATCTTGCACATGTTTAGTCCGTTATCCTTCTTCAAAACCCTTTACAGATCGAAGGGTCTGCTTCCAAGCAAATAAAAAGACCTTTTGTATAATAACAGGTGATAAAAAAAAATAATAAACAATTGTGAATCAGCGATCTGTTATTCTCTGTCATTAAACACATATAAATCATGTCCTCGTTTAATCGTTTTAATTCTATTTTAAAGTAAATACCAGCTAGAATTCAAAGCTATTCAAAATTAATATTTAGCAAAGACGATGTCCTAACTTTCAATATTAGAAGGTATTCTGCGATAGATTCTGGATGGTGTATAACCTAAAATGACTGAAGTTAATTCAATGTGTATAAAAAAGACGAATTGTTTGTACAGAAAATCTAAAATGTTTCCATAGTGTATAATAATTTACAAACATTGGTACTGATAAAATTAATGATGAGTGAAATATGAAAATAACGTGCAGAAATCAATATCAAAAGTCTATTTAACAAATAGAAAATTGGATCAAAACAACCACGGACCTCTAAAACATCAGAGATGGGATGAGGTGCCAAAGAGAATTAAGCGTTCCCTGACGACCAGTCACACCTGCAATGTACTTCCTGTCATATTAGGGCAAACCAAAAAAGTTGCATATAATTCAGTGTGAAAATAATGGACTAACAATTTACATAAAATGCCTGTCAACATTCGACTTTTTTATAGGTCGTTTTTAAAAATAAGGTCAATTTTTCGTGAAATTTCTTACAAATGCCTACGAACCTGTAAAATTTTGGCATTTATTTTTACCAACACAATGCAGGAAATTCGAATAAAATTTTAAACATGGGATCTTCAATAAAAAAAAGAACATCCCTGATACAAAACTGTTGATAAGAAAAAATCATAAAAGTGGCCTGACATACATTTAATACATTACTCGTTTTTACCCGACTTACTGTCACTTACATTTTTCATTCTTTCTTCTCCTGCAGGGGCACTGAATCCAAGGTAACCCTTTACTTTTATAATAACTTATTTGATATTGATTCAAAATAAAACAAAGTGTTTGTTTATTGGTCATTTTTTGTCTAAGGTGAAAGATTTCTTTTTGAAGACAACATCTGTTTCAAAAATTAGTTTTTTCCTAAATGACAGAACTAAGTCATCTTATATTTTGAAACTCAATGAAACATGGTTTTTCTGCACTTCTTATGTTAAGGAATTTGATCTTAATATCACAATTTTGAAATCACAAGCGTGCGTTTGCGAAATCTCAGGTTGGATGTTGATTCGTGCAAGCTGCTTTAAAATAACATATGTCAAAACCTGAGTAAGATATTAAGCCAAGAATTAGTCTGAATTTGAAACTTTTATTTGATACTTGTTTAGTATTATCTATCATTAGGGGGAGAGTAACATTTGGAAATACAAGGAAGATTTAAATAATTATACATACACGTTGTAATTATAGACTTTGACAACTTGAATCTTAATCGTGGTAAAGGTAACATTTTGCAAACAAGGAAGTATGAAATAGAAATAAGGCAAACAGTGCAAATTGTAAACAAGGCAAAATAAATTTGAGATCCCCTGAAACATGGGAAGGTGGAGGGTTTGGGCGGATGCTGAAGAGGATTAAGCATCATCCCAGTCCCACCCACAAGCAATCTGCATTGATCATATAGGTAGAGTAACCTCTAGTCAAAACTAGTTATTAAACAATAGCTAATGAAACATGTCATTTAAAATATATTCAAAACGATAGACTGTATTAGCAAACGAGGTCATTAAAAGAATCATACTGATAGAATTTGCAAAGCGCTTTCTTCAAACTAGATTCTAATTGTCAAAAGATCTAAAAATGGGAAAACGATGAAATAGTTATTTTTTATTCTTACTTATTTTAAAGATTAAATCTAAATTCGTGTTTTATATTTGTTTATTGTTCTTCTGTAATTTTTCAAATGTTTCAAACATATTCCAAATGGAGAGGTATATGTATGAAACTGGCTCGTGAATTAATTACAATTAAATTAAATGACTTTGAATGGCATTCATGATATGAATAATATTCTTTTGCGAACAACGTTGAAGTAAAGACTTCACTGTGAATTAATTACAATTAAATTAAATGACTTTGATTGCAGTGTCTACAATTATTACAAAAACAAATATAATTACGTTCATTCATGATATGAATAATATTCGAGAGGTATAAAATATGTAAAAAAAAAAATTCTCTGTCAAACATACAGAATACCATAATTGCTTGATAGGCAATTAAATTTAGCATAAATTATAAGTCTTAAAAATCTTTATCAAAAAATCTTCTTTGTATATACATAAGATTTTTGTTTGTTCAAATCATGAAGCTTAGAGTTTAAACGGGGTCATGATAGGCAATTAAATTTAGCATAAATTATAAGTCTTAAAAATCTTTATCAAAAAATCTTCTTTTTAAGAACAGAAAAGACTTGATAAGTTACTAGTATATTTATATGTAAGTATGTAATGTAAAGAGGTTACGATAACAGTAATCGATCTAAAAAATCTATTAACAAAAGAAGTATCTGAAGAGGGCATAAAACTCAGACCCCTGGTGATATTCCTTGGGTGGGATCAGGTGCCAAGAAGAAGAAAACATCACCTCCTGGACCGTTGTTTCTATGGTGGCTGTTGTTGATTTGAAAATGAATATACGACTTTTTGGAAGAACATTTTGGCAGTATTTTAGAATACCTGTTTAGCTGCTTACTCTTCTTTCGTTTTTTTATTTTGGACCATTAGAAATGTAAGAGGGTCTTTCTCGATATAAATACAATTTCTTGCAATGGCACATTGTAATGTTTGATTTATTCTCTGGTTTATTAAGCGCTTTTGCTGGTGAATTTTGAATAATGTTTCAGTATGAAATTGCTCAAAAGTCCAATTAAACAACAACGACCTGTAGGGAAGGTTAAAATAAAAAATTTTTTTATTACACACAGCACCTAACATATTACAAATTTTCTTTTACAGGGCATTATAATTATCTCATTTGTAATTTCCAGAGTGCTAAATCTTCTTATTGGACACTGTCCAAAAACGGTGAAGAACCTTTCGAAAATAGTTAGATAAATAAGTTTTTCACCAACAACATGAAATATATTATATTTTTTTATTTCATAGATGGATGCCCACAAAGGTATTTGATAAACAATATAAAAGTATTCAAGAGCGCTCACAATTTTCCAGAAGTTCGATTTTCCCAATGCTAACAGTAGAAAGCAGATGACATGCTGACAAGGGATGATTTTGGACAAAATAACTAAAACACAACAGTTGCAATTTTATTTCTGATCAACTCAAATAGAATTGTTTGACAATTTATGCAGTTGTTCGCATTTAACATTTCTCCATAATAATCGGTGCGTTGTGTAGCTCTTCCTTTGATAGGACGTTGTCAGCTGCAGAAATAAAATATTTTAAAGTAAAATCATATTTTGATAAAACGGAAAAAAATATACAATGAAAAAGTTGATTAAATTATTCAAATATATAATTACCATTTTTGTCTGACGTGTTGAAAACGTAATCAACATCAACGCTCTTGTTCGCTTGTGTCACGTTCACAAATTCAGTCTTGTTAACAGCACCGTCCCCATTCTTGTCCCACACGGAAAATTTACATGGCAGGCTCTTGTAAAGGAGAGAAAATTGTCATATTAGTGTTTACAGACAAATAACAAATTCATTTTAAGTCAATTTCGAAATTAAAAACTTCAAATAGGCGTCTCTATATGAGAGAAAAATTTTCGAGAAGGATGTTTTATAAAACAACCAACAAACAAAACTTCAAATTACAATATCCTGATGTTTTCCATTGCAATTTCGGTAACAGTAAAAACAGCAGAACTTTCCGCATTTGTTTGATGGTTCACAACTGAAGCCACAAAGACGAGGGCAGACTGGTGCTTGTGTGGTCACAAGTAACTTTACTCTAGATCTGCGGCTTCTTGTCCATCTCCTGAAAAACCACCAAGCCCCATTGGAATCCTCAATAAATGCACCGGTTATCAGCATCAATACCAAAAATTGTGAAATTTTGATCTAAAATGCAATTATCAAAAAGGGCTAAAAGCTTTTTTAAGTGATGAGTGCAGTTAAAAAATAACTAATATTTTTTTCTTTTATGTTTTCCTTTTTATTAATCATTTTCTTTTTTCTTGATCAGTGTTCCAACATTTTAATTTATTCACGTTCGAAAAAATGTTGAGTGTTATTAAACTCGAGATAAAGTTGAGTAGAATACCGGTACGTGTAATCAGAAACGACTGTATCCTCAAACCTCATTTTTAATGAACCGGGCTAAGTAAGCCATTCAATTGAAAAACAAGACTTTTTTGAAACTCTGCACATCCAGTTAGAAATGGTCTACATGAAGATAAGAGTTATCTGTATTTTGAAGTTACTATTTTCTGCTGTGTTAAGAATTACTTTTTATTCTAAATTGGTCGTGCGCTAAGATAAAAGCTTTTTAAGCATGTTTACTTCATGACGTCTTGTTATTCTCTATTATCCTCTTTAAGAATAATTATTTATAGATTATCATCTCACTCGTTTAAATAATTAAGAACATATTTAAGACATTCTTTATGTGAAATGATACAAAGAAAACAAACAATGATTTTCATTTTTTTAACATTCATTTCTTTAAGTTAATTAAATTAAGATTTTAATATAATATAATGTTTGTGTATAGCCTACCTTAATCATCGTCTTGGCTCTCAAAATGGAAGAAGAAAAAATATATATCACGTGTTATTTAAATGAATATCCTGAAAGTACTTTAATCCAGGAAAAATATTTTACTGCTAAGAAATATGGCAATTGGGGGGAGTTACCTGGAACAGCTGAACGTAGGATGCATTGTTATATTGCATGCTTACTACATTTGCCAATCAATTTTTAAGCAATTGAACGCTAATCCTTCCTCTATACAGGCTTCTGTTGTTATCATCTATCAGTTGACTGGCTTACTTGTTAACAAATAGCACTGTATCCAATTTTAGCATTGCGTGAACAGATTTTGGAGATTTTTTTGATACATTGTCGATGCATTTTTATCTCTGAGCAAACAACTTGTCAAATTTTATATAATAGAATATACGACCGCTTACGTGTGATAGGTTCTGCTATTAGCGACGTACGTATATTACGATTGCAGGAATTTTTTCCATAGTATGAATCAATATCAATAATGTAAATCGAGAAGTGGTTGATTTATTTTGAAATAAAAAAAATCGTGTTAAATTTATTTAAAACTATGGAAAAGGTGTTCATCACGATAATAAAAGTAACTAGATGCTGTCATGAGACAGTAATACCCGCACTAAGGTGTTTGCCTCTAAATGCACACTCCTCTAAAATTAGGCTTTTCCAAAGAAAAAGTCAATATAATTTAATAATTTACATAATAGGGCCTCCATGTATTCATCAAATTGAGCATAATATTCTCAAGTGAACATGTGACCCGTCACCATGGGCCTCGATCTTATAGGTACATGTATTTCATATTCATAATTCATTACCAGTCTGAAATTAAACAACAGAATTCAATTAATGATGTAAATTAGGTTTGAAACAAGGGGGGGGGGGGTAAATTTTTGGCCCATAATTGGAACTTTTTAAATCTATTTTCTCATATAGATCAACAACAAATATTATTCAAATTAGTTTAAAGCGTTTTTGATGATTTTTTTCCAAAATGTACAAACTTTTTTATACTTGATTAGGCAGAAACACCTTGAAAGCTGCCATATACCATTTATACCCAATCAATTTAGTCAACCCCTACCCTTCACCCATCAACACACACACGCGCAAACACACCCTATTTTCCTGTTTTTGGAAATAGGCCTAGATGGCAAAGTTAAGATAAAACATCTTTTGTAAATAATAATTTTAAATTTGTTCTTATACTGTAAATGTATCTGAAGACCTGCATCACATTGGGCTTGCGTCACGTACCTAACTTAAGTACTAGTTTTACCATTATCATTTTTAGATAGCACTGCACGTGCAGTACTAGGCCTAGTGTTGTGTACACATCATTGCATGTATGTCAGTTGGAATTATTTTGTGTTTAATTGGATTATATTTCATGAAGTTGGAGCTATGGCAGTCGGTAAGTACACGTTTTGGTATAGATTTGGGTAAAATAGTCTGAAATGCAACTGGTTAGGTTAAAGTTTAAAGGATCAAAGGTCATCCGATGCTGCAATAAGACGAATTTCACATTCTAAAGAGTTATCGCCCGTTATCGACGTTACATTCAGTTACAAAATACAGAATTTTTTTCTGAGAGGGAGGGGGGACTTCCAGACCAGAATTTTCTGAGAAGCAAATAAAAGGAGAAGTTATGGTGGTGTCTGTTTTCTAGGGTGGAGGGCATCCAAAGTCTTTTTTATATTATAGTCCTGCAAATTCGGGGGGGGGGGGATCTCAAGATACACTTCCAGTCCCTGTAAACAGTAATGGCAAATGATCATGTGACTCCTAAATAGTAGGAAACTTTTTCCATTTGACAATACATAATTTTGCGCTTTTTGTGTTATTATGTTATGTAAATTTAATGGTATAAAGGTTTTGAACCCCCTGGAGGTCAACCCCACTCTCCTAATGATTCTAACTGGAAATGTTCACAATATGACTGTATTAAATGAAATAAAAGTGCATCAATGATAAGATTGCTTGACATTTCATTCATCAACCTATCCTCCTAGAATTAGGAATGAAAATCATTCAAAGAGATGGACCGCATTAAAGTATTTGTATATAGGCTATTAACATATTTTTTTTAAAATGTAAAACAAGCAGTAGTTTGCATACATGTCATGAATATAAACAGGGGTCTGGGATGGGGTGAAGGGAAGGATCGAGTTCCTGTCTCTTTGTCTTAATGGTTGAAAACTCCTAAAATGAATGCTGACCTCAAATCCGACTTGTCCTCATTATTTTTCAAGTGGGGGTGTCTCCATTTGAGTGAAAAATTCCTGAGAGGGATGTTTAACAACAAACAAACAATTAAATGACATAAAAACACAATATTGATTTGCGTTAAGAAATATGCAGGGGATTTTTTCCATCATAAATCTTCTTCTCAAGAACAGCAAGGGCATTATTGTCCCCCGTTTTGGGGGAAAGGGAGGGAACATTATACACTTATTTAATGACTACGAGGTAAACAGTCAAACTGTTGTCCCGGGGTAGTGGGGGAGACCTGGGACACTGTTGCCCAAGGCCTAAGGCCAAGGGCAATAGTTTCCCAGGTCTCCCCCACGTACTACTGAGGCCTAGGACAATAGTTTGACTGTTTCACCGAGTAGTCATTGAATAAGTGTTTTATTACCTAACCTACTATATAATTAATTAAATTGGAATAAAAACACACATTATTCACATACTTGTCTATTAATTAGCTGAATACATAATATAAAGACTAAATTAATATTTTTATTTTAAAGTAATACTTAATAAATTTATTGTTTGTGTGTTTTGTTTAAATTTAATTCATTATAGAGCAGGTAAATAGTGATGTCGTGGTCATCAAAACGCTTGAATATCACAATGACGCTTTAACCAGTCAACAGTTCATTCTGTGGACCGGTCAACAGTTCACTGTTTCATGATCACCCAAAAACATAAAGTAAACCGTGAAACAGTTCAAAATGCCTAATTATAATTTAGATAGTAAGTTAGGTAATAATAAATCTTATTTGTCTGTCAGTCTGGCCATCTTTGACAGTATGTGCATCTGTCACAATAAATTTAACCTTGATCATAACTTTTGAATAATATGAGATAGGGCTTTTATATTTCACATGTACATTACCACAAAACTTTCTAAATGTACTATGATTTTTTAACCCAAGTGAGACCTTGACCTCAAAATTTTACCTACTTTCCAAAAAATAACATTTTAAATTAATCATTTTGAAAGAGAAAAGATATGGCATTTAAATTATACATGTATATTACATGTGAAAAGACTTTTCTAAATATATCATGACTTTTGACTTTCTGATCTTGACGTAGAAGTTTAACCTACTTTTCAAAAATATTATATTATATATTTATATATATATAACTTTTGATTGAAAAGAGATGGGTCTTTCATATTTGACATGTACTTTACCTGCAACAAAATATTTCGAGCATGCGATGATTTCCCCTCTTTGACCTAATTTTCATAAAGTGACATATGATTGGGATGCATATTTGATACACAATCTGCCATAAATTATGGCATCCCATTCACTTAAACACAGAAAGCAAAGGACCACAATTCTTTGAATTTGCATGTATAATCTTGATATGGAAACATCCTCATATAATGTATATTCAAGTTTTTTATGCTACGCCATGATTAGGAATACATGTATTAGTTTTTGTCATGTCCGTCTTCCACCCTTCCATCTGTCTTTCCATCGAGCTCAAAGAAATTACTTTCTAGATATTTTATCAAAGTTCATATGCTGATGCATATACTGATGTAAACTATCCAACTGTGGCAATATTTTTTATGCGCCCGGATCGATAGATCCCGGGCATATATTGTTTTTGTCCTGTCTGTTTGTCTGTTTATCTGTTTGTCTGTTTGTCTGTTGTCAACTTTAACTTTGGCCATAACTTTTGAACAATAAGAGATAGAGACTTCATATTTGGTATGCATACTCCACTATTAAAGTCCTTTCAAATGACATCAAGGTCAATGACCTTGTGACCTTGACTGTGACCTATATGCTAAAAATAGCTTTTTCCACTGTTTGTCACAACTTTTTAACCATAGGAGATAGGGACTTGATATTTGGTATGCATACTCCTCTAATAAAGCCCTTTCAGTTGACAACAAGGTCAATGATCTTGTGACCTTGACTGTGACTTATATGCTAAAAAAAGCTTTTTACACTTTTTGCCATAACTTTTGAACCATAGGAGATAGGAACCTCATATTTGGGATGCATACTCCACTGGTTAAGTTCTTTCAGATGACACCATGGTCAATGACCTTGTGACCTTGACCGTGACCTAGATGCTAAAAATAGCTTTTTACACTTTTTGCCATAACTTT